ACCTACTTCACAGAGTTAAAAATTATAACTGATCAGGACTGTCCAGTTATAGAAAAGTAGCTAGCACAAAGTTGGTACTCATTAAATCTTATTGTTATGTCATTGTAAATAATGGCATGGTGATTTGTGCCTGTAGTCCCAACTACTCAGGAAGCTGAGGCAGGAGGATCTCTTGAGCCCAGTTCAAGACCAGCTTGGGGAACATAACAAGACTCCATTTCTATAAATAATAAGTAAACACTTATTATTTGTTTTCACTCTTTGCTATTCCACAACTTTATCTTAAAAATCCCAACTCTACTACTTCCTCTTCCACTTTCAGGAGCTGACTTTGTTTTTCTTACTTCAGAGCACATAGAAACCATCAGATGAGAACGTCTCAACTCCCTAATGGCAAACCTACAAAACTGAACTCAACCTAAGGAGAAGGTAGCCAGCAAGCTCCATGCAGGAAAAGTGACTGAGACAGTGGTGCACAATCAATATATGTGGACTGGATGAAGAGGTATATGCTTTTTTTTTTTTTTTTGAGACAGGGTCTTGTCCTGTCTCCTAGGCTGGAATGCAGTGGCATGATCATAGCTCACTGCAGCCTGCAACTCCTGGGTTCAAGCCATCTTCCTGCCTCAGCCTCCCAAGTAGCTGAGACCACAAGCACGTACCACCACACCCAGCTAATTTGCTTTTATTATTTTATTATTTTGAGACAGAGTCTTGCTCTGTCACCTAGGCTGGAGTGTAGTGGTGTAATCTTGGCTCACTGCAACCTCCGCCTCCCAGGTTCAAGTGATTCTCCTGCCTCAGCCTTCTAAGTAGCTGGGATTACAGGCATGCGCCACCACACCCAGCTACTTTTTTGTATTTTTAGCAGAGATGAGGTTTCAACATGTTGGCTGGTCTCGAACTCTTGACCTCAAGTGATCTGCCTGCCTTGGCCTTCCAAAGTGCTGGGATTACAGGTGTGAGCCAACACATTTTTGAATTTTTAGCAGAGACAGTGTTTCACCATGTTGGCCAGGTTGGTCTTGAACTCCTGACTTCAAGTGATCTGACCATCTTGGTCTCCCAAAGTGCTGGGATTACAGGGGTGAGCCACCACGCCAGGCCGCCATTAACTCTTTTAAATTTCCCAAAGCTTGGTCCTAGGCCTTCTTTTCTTCTCATTCTGTATATGCTCCTTGGGTGATTTTTATCAACTCCCATGGCTTAACTATCTAGATCCTGATGATGCCCAACTCTTTAGTCCTTGGCCAGAATTTTCTTCTTCAGGTGATACCCACGTAATTATCTTTACCACATCTCTATTTGGATGTTACATAGGCACATGTTAAAAAAAGTTGGCTGGGCACAGTAGCTCACTGTAATTCCAGCACTTTCGGAGGCCGAGGCACTTTGGGAGGCTGAGGTGGGAAGATCACTTGAGTTCAGGAATTTGAGACCTGCCTGCACTCAGTGGAGTGCAGTGATGCGATCTCGGCTCACTGCAAGCTCCACCTCCTGGGTTCATGCCATTCTCTTGCCTCAGCCTCCTGAGTAGCTGGGACTATAGGCGCCCGCCACCACACCACACCACCACCAGCTAATTTTTTTGTGTTTTTAGTAGAGACGGGGTTTCACCATGTTAGCCAGGATGATCTCGATCTCCTGACCTCCTGATTCGCCTGCCTCCCTCCCCTCCTGGTTCATGGCCTGCTAGTCCTACAACATTTGGCTCTTTCCCTAGGTCTCCACAGTATCCCTGTGGAGGTCACTTCAGAAGTTTCTCCAAATGAATCAGAAAATACATAGTGTCCGTTTCCGAAATAAAGTACATGGAAAGATTCTTCTCCTTGATGGAAAAGGACAAAATATTAAGTATTTGGGTCTCTCCTTCGGCAACTTGGTAAAGGATAAACACTCCTATTGTTTATCACTTACTGCAGTATAATAAAGGAACTTTCAGTGAGCATTTCACTGTAAGCCTATGTCAGTGCCTAACAGAAAGAGATGGCAAGATTTAAGTTCTGAATTTTCAGCCCCATCAGTTACTAGTTCAGTAACCATATCACTGAAAGTGCAAGTCTCTACATCTTTTTAAGAGTAACTTTCTTGCCCAGGTACAGCGGTTCATGTCTGTAGTCCCAACACTTTGGGAGGCTGAGGTGGGAGGATCGCTTGAGTTTAAGAGTTCAAGACCAGCCTGGGCAACATGGTGAAACCCTGTCTCTACAAAAGATACAAAAATTAGCTGGCATGGGGGCACGACCTGTTGTCGCAGCTACTTGGAGGGCTGAGGTGGAAGAATCACTTCAGCGTGGGAGGTCGAGGCTGCTGTGAGTTGTGATTGCACCACTGTACTCCAGCCTGGGTGACAGAGTGAGACCCTGTCTCAAACATTCCTTTATCTCTGAATGGGAGTGATAATATCACAAGGAGCAGAAAGCGGTTTTAGGTTAAGTTTGACTACTCTTCATAGCAGAGAAAAATAAGCTGAATACTTAAAATAATTGAAAACGTGAACTCTCTATAAATCCTTTTGATAGTTCTCTAATATTCATGGGCTGCCAAAATCGAGGGTTTTTTGTTTTGTTTTGTTTTGTTTTTTTAAGACGGAGTCTTGCTCTGTCATCCAGGATATAGTGCAATGGCACAATCTCAGCTCACTGCAATCTCTGCCTCCCGGGTTCAAGTGATTCTCCTGCCTCAACTTCCTGAGTAGCTGGGATTACAGTCGCCTGACACCCGGCTAATTTTTGTATTTTTAGTAGAGAAGGGATTTTACCATGTTGGTCTGGCTGGTCTCCAACTCCTGACCTCAGGTGATCCACCCACCTTGGCCCCCCAAAGTGCTGGGATTACAGGCAGGAGCTACAGCGCCTGGCCTCTAGGCTACTTTTTATCAAACTTTTAATCAAAGTTTCATGTTACAACTCCTAGTTGGCTGAGGATTACTCTATCTGTGCTTTTCTAGGTCACTTCAGAAGTTTCTCCAAATGAATCAGAAAATACATAGTGTCTGTTTCTGAAATAAAGTACAAGGAAAGAGAGATTCTTCTCCTTGATGGAAAAGAACAAAATACTTTCTTAAGGTTCTCAATGACTCATTGTGATGGGAGGGGAAGAGGAGGCAAAGGAAAAAAGCCAATTTCAGTAAAAGATTTCAAGAAGTTGGTAAGAAAAATATAGGGTGGAAACTTTGTTTTCCTGCTACTAAAAAAAGATACTAGAACAGAACAAGGATCACAGCAAGAAATATGAGTGAGGCCAGACCATCTGACAAACCCTTCAAACTCATCCTTTCTACCGTCCCCATTAAATAGCATATTTAAACGTGAATCTTTGCTGACTCTGCCAAGAATCTTGAAAATGCCCAAGTTTCTGTACTAGAACTCACGGAAACCTGGTGAATACTATTATTACCTAAAAGCGCAGCAATAGAGAGGAAATTCTCAGACTGGATGTAATGAATAAGAAGGGCACTGTTGTTTCTTGCTGATTGTTTCTTGCCTGCAGTAAATCTTGCCTCATACTCTAAATCCTTAGTAGGCCATGAACAGGGGAAAGACTATAAACAGAATTGGAGATTACAGGCCTCAGGCATGCAACTCCTGTAGCTTTACCATTTCTCCTTAGGTTGGCTTCAGAAAGGACTCAATCCCCCAAGTGCAGAGATGAGGGTGTGTGGCACTAGAAGAGCTGATTTGGGGTGGGAACTTAGACTTCTTGTCTTACCTGGCTCCCACTTTCTATCACCTGTTTTGAAAATGTTTAGTACCTTGAACGTACATGGAACATACTGGTAGCGTTAACTGTGTGCCCTTATCTACCCTATGTACATGTGCCCTATCTATGTAAACTGTTTAACTTGGCTGAGAGTTTCACTGAAAGTTTTGGCAAGAAAGGGGACAGCCAGTCTATGGAAAATACAAAGAGCCACACTTAGGGAAAATAATTCGGTGAATGGCTGCCTTTGGTGAAAATCTAGAGTCCACTTCTAGAAGAAAATTCAAAGTTCATACACTGACCCTCGCCCCTCGCGTTCCCCCTCCCTCTTACCTCGGATCACCACGGACAGTGAAGTAGGGCGGGGGAAGGGAGCAATGGCAACGTGGACGCTCAAGGCAGGGGACAGAATAACCAAAAAGAGTAGTTTCTGGGGGATAGAGAGAACGCTGGTGCAGAGGTGAAAGGGAAAGACGGTGGGCGGATGGACAGATGAGGGCAAGAGACTGACAGCAGGGAGCGGGCAGAGCTGGAGAAGGAGAGTGGGCGAGAGCCAGAAAAGAGGAGGCTTAGGAGTAAAAGGGTAGAGGGCTAAAGGTAACAGCCCAGGGTTGGATCCGGGACGAGGGAGGGTATGAAGTGAGGGCTGGGCATGGGACAGGGCCCACAGGTTAGGTAGGAGGTCCGGCCAAAAAGGGGTTGGGCCAAGAAGGTGGTCCCGCCCGAGGATGGCTCAGGGAGCGGACGGAAAGGATCCAATTCCTAGCTTCATGGTGCCTTGGCGCCACCCTCACTCGCCTGCAGGATCCTGGCTCGCACTGCCGCCGCCGCCGCCGCCACTACCGCCGCCATGGCTCTCGGCCGCCCTAGCTCCGCAACCCGCTCCTCTACAGCTCAGAAGCACTACAGCTGCCAGGCCTCGCCCTCCATCCTGCTGGGCTTCCTCATTGGTGGGGAGGACTATTTTCTTCAGCCAATCACTCGTCCTAACACCTGATTCCTCCTCGCACACCCCAGTCCTGGGGATAAGTGATTGGTCAGGAGCGAAAATGCTCTCACCCTCTCCTACCTCAGCCAATGCCGTTGGCGGAGGTAGAGAAGAAGCCCCTGACTTGGACACTCCATACTGAGCACACGGAGAAGACGCCCCCCTAACCTGGAACTCCGATTGGCCAAGGACGCAACCGAGGCCCCACCCCTTCACTGAGAAAAGTAAATAAGACCCTGCAAGAATTTTGCTGTCGCTCCACCTCAACAACTGCGTAAGGGGCGTGGCTATGATTAGGGGAGGGGCTGGGCGAAGATTGCCCTATGAGGCGAGGGAATGAGACGTGGCTGCGAGTTGGGGATAGGGTTTCTCTTTGGGGGCGTGGCTTATGGATCCTCGTTTTCCCGCCGACGGTTGGCCACGTCACGTGACATGGGTTGGAAGATGGCGTCTCCCACAGACGGTAAGAGCCGGCTTAGCGATGTTTGCCTGCAGCCTCCTTCTTTGCTGTATGGGGAACATCCACTCTGTCTCTGCCCCTCGAACATACATTTCTTTCTTGGGCTCTTCTCCTTTCCCTTTTGTTTTTTTTCTTGCGATCCATCGCCGTCTTCAGCTCACCGGTTCTTCGCAGCAGCTTCAGAGGTGCCCAGTTTCCCCGCTCTGTACCAGACGTGTGGAGGAGGGCACTAGGGAGGGACTCAATCTGGGTAAAAGGACAGGGGGTCGCCCTGGCCCTTCCTTATCTCTATTTGGGCGAGGCTGAGGGTCGAGGAGGAGATGTTACTGGAGGACGTGCCTTACTGTAGTTTTCTCCTTGGGGTATCCCATTGAAAGGATCAGTTCTCTTCTGATTGAGCTCACGGATGGAACGATTCTCAAACCCTCGAAGGGGCTGCTGGCTGACCCCATCTCGATAGTGAACCGCAAGAGAAACATGATCTCTCTCCTGTCTCCTCAGTTTGGGACCATGGCAGCAAGAGAAGCGGGGGACGTTCTCGGCCCCTCGCCGTGAGAGTCGCGAGGAGAATGAGTATTGAGCTTTTAAGTGTTGTCTTGCACAGGTCGCAACCGCTCTTTCATCTGCTTTACGTGTTGTTTCTTAAGGCTGAGTGAATGAACGATTTCTGTTTATATGTTGTGTAAAATGCAAGTCATCTCAAGTAACAATTAAGTTGTTTTGGTATACTCCCATGCTTTTGCTCTTGGTTCTGCTTTAGAGAGGGTCTTGCAGTCATTTTTAAACTCATTTTTAGTTCTACCATCCCCATCCCAACTATATATCGATTTTATTGATATATAGGTTTTCCTCCCTTAGACAAACAGATTTTGTATTTGGAAGGAATCTTGGAAGTTCATTGCAGGAATGAAGAAATTGAAGCCAAGGTGAGCTGTATTGAGTACCTACTACATGAAAGGCATAATGCTAGGTGCTTTGGGAGACCAAAAGATGACTCAAACATATACACTGTTTTTTTTTTTTTTTTCAGTCTCAGTTCTCTTTTTAGATGTCACCTCCCAAAGAGTCTTTCTTAGAACACAGTATCTGGAGTTGCCCTTCCCCACCATTATTCATTGTCTCAGTATCTTCCTTGTCAGCATAGTTACTATGTTAACTTTGCCCCTTGTACACTAGATTATAAATTACAAGTTTGTCTTGTTCATAGCTGGATCCCAGGTTTAGCACAGTGCCTGACGAACAGTAGGTCTTTAATTAACATTTATTGAAAGATTGATTAGATATGTGCAGAAATATTACTTGATCTTAAGTTTTACGTTTAACCGAGTCTTAAATTTTGTGAGCACAGGTACATACTGTGTTAGAAATTATGGCCGGGCGTGGTGGTTCACACTTCTAATCCCAGCACTTTGGGAGGCTGAGGCAGGCAGATTGCCTGAGCTCAGGAGTTGAAGACGAGCCTAGACAACATGGTGAAACCCCATCTCTACAAAAAAATGCAAAAATTATCTGGGTGTGGTGCCGTGCACCTGTGTAGTCCCAGCTACGTGGGGGGCTAAGGCAAGAGAATCGCTTGAGCCTGGGGGTGGAGGCTGCAGTGAACCATGTTCATGTCACTGCACTCCAGTCTGGGTGACAAAGCGAGACCCCGTCTCAAAAAAAAAAGAAGGAAAAACAAGAAATTTTGGATGTTTGGAGTCAAAAGAGATTCTCCTTCCTGGGTGCTCTCTTGCAAAAATGTCCTCTCGCCAGAAAGAAAGGCATTTAAAAAGGGAATAGGGAGTTATTGCTAATGGGTACCAAATTTCAGTTTGGGAAGGTGAAAGTGTTCTGGAAATGAATGTGATGATTGCACAATTAATGTACTTAATACCACTGAACTGTATACTTAAAAGTTATTAAAATGGTAAAATTTATGTACATTTCACCACAATTTTTTTAAAAAGCCAAGTGATAGAAATAGAGGTAATTGTTATTAAATTTTCTAGTTTATTTTTAAATTGTTTTTACAAATTTTGGGGATTTTAGAGATGTGTTCCTTGAGTTTGATTTTTTTTTTTTCTTTGTCTTCTCTCAATTTAGTTTCCTTTCTTTGGCCAGGAAGAGTATTAAAAATGTTAAATTTTTTTCCTTTGGTCTTCTAGCCATCCCTATGGTCACTTTATTTGCACTCTTGATTTTTAAAAGTCTTCATTCTCATCTCTTACAAAGTTTCACTCCTCTCCACCTAATGTTTTCTTTTAATCTGAAAAAATCAAGTCAAGCACTTTGAACTTAAATTCAACGTCTCAGTAAGTATCTCATTCCAAAATATTCCATGGCCTAGCTCTCTCACTTCTATTTTTAGTGTTCCACCTGTCACTGTCTTTAAAATTTAATTCAGATAACATTGACTTGAAAATGTTTGTCATTTACTCTTTTGTCTTTTTTGTGATAAATTTGCTGGAGCTTCTTTGAAAAGGAGAAAACTGAAATTCAAATACAGCCATCTAATTACTTAATTTATGAGAGTAAGACTCACAGCAGAGTCTGAGTTCTATCCCAGACTGTGGTATCATAAGGTCACCCATGTAGGTTATTAGATTGTACCCCCAATAATTTTTTTTAAAATTTTCTTTTAGAGACAGGGTCTCTCTCACTCTATTGCCCATTCTGAAATGCAGTGGTATGATTATAGCTCACTGCACCCTCAAAGGCTCAAGCTATCCTCCCGTCTCAACCTCCCAAGTAGCTGGTACTATAGGCTCACACCACCATGCCCAGCTAATTTATTATTATTATTATTATTATTTATTTTGTTTTGAGACGGAGTCTCACTCTGTCACCCAGGCTGGAGTGCCGTGGCACGATCTCGGGTCACTGCAATCTCTGCCTCCTGGGTTCAGGTAATTCTCATGCCTCAGCCTCTCCAGTAGCTGGGATAACAGGCACACACCACCGCACCTGGCTAATTTTTGTATTTTTAGTAGAGACAGGGTTTCACCATGTTGCCTAGGCTAGTCTCAAACTCTTGACCTCAGGTGATCCACTCACCTCAGCCTCCCAAAGTGCTAGGATTACAGACGTGAGCCACCGTACCCCGCCTTATTATTTTTTGTAGAAATGAAGTCTCACTATGTTGCCCAGGCTGGTCTCAAACTCCTGGGCTCAGACAGTCTTCCTGCCTCGGCTTCCCAAAGCACTGGGATTCCAGACACGAGCCACTGCACCTGGCCCAATAACTTTATTTTTGTTATGGTTGAACATTCCTCAGAAATTGGTAACAAAGAGAAGCTAATTTTTGATGCTTTAGTTAAGGCAGTGTATTAGTTGAGTTCTTTACAATTAAAATGCCATTGGAAATTCCTTTGGGATATTTGGCAAAACAAATTCAGTTTAGAGAAAAGTACATGTTGAAAAATTTTGTACGTATGTATATTTTCTGGGGAATGAGTTCATTTTTTTCCCCAGATTTCCAAAGATGTGGCTTACCCAGAAAATGTTAAGAACAGCTGTTTATATAGCATTAAATGAACTAGTTATGCAACTGGTTAGCATACTGAGCATGCAATAAAAATTCAACGAATGTTAATATTGAGTACTACTCTGTGCAAGGGAAGAGTGGAAAAGAAATGATGTCAAAGAATTAGGCAGAGGCTGAGTAAGATTTTATAGAGTATGGTAGATACACATTCACAGATTTAACTGGGAGGAACTTTAAGCTGGAGAGTGACACGAACTGATTGACATTTAAAAAAATCATTTCTGGCCTCTTTATAGAGAATAGATTTGGGGGCGTGAAGGGGAAAGGGTGAGAATGGGAGCAGAGAGATCTGTTAAGAGGCTATTGAAGTAGTCCAAGAGGGAAGTGGTGGTTCCTCGGGTTATTCGATTTCAGGGTGTATTTTGAAGGTAGAAATGACTAGATTTACTCATGGATTGGTTATGGAAGGGTGAAGGAAAAGAATGCATGAAGGATGACATCTGGGTTTTCGATTTGAGAAATAGGGTTTATGGTAGTGCTATTTATTGAGATGGGAGAAGATTGGGGGAATATGGTTTTGAAGATAATTAGGTTTAAGTGGGAATTTTTTTTTTTTTTGAGACAAAGTGTGGCTCTATCACCCAGGCTGGAGTGCAGTGGTGTGATCTTAGCTCACTGCAGCCACCACCTCTGGGCTCAAGCCATCCTGCCACCTCAGCCTCCCAAGTAGCTGGGACTACAGGCTGACACCACCACACCTGGCTAATTTTTTGCTTTTTGTAGAGATGGGGTTTCGCCATGTTGGCCAGGCTGGTCTCAAACTCAAGCAATCCACCCACCTCGGCCTCCCAAAGTGCTGGGATTACAGGCCTGCACCACTGCATCTGACCTTAAGCGGTTTTTTCATATGTAAATAGAGAGGGATTCAAATAACCACTTGGACATAAACCTTTGTAGTTCTTTAGAAAGGTTGGCAATGGAAATGTAAATATGGAATCATTGGCATACAGATGAAGATAAAGTCCTCATGTTGAAATAGGAGAGTTCCCTAACCCCAGGATATGCGACAGGGGTATGGCTTGTCTTTGTGCGCTCAAACCTTTTACGGGAGGGGGAGCATGCAGATGGGTGGGTATAGGAGTCAGGGCGAGCACTTTTGGGCTCCAGCCCCATGGTAGCATCTAGGGGTGGGTACCTGTGACTCCCAAAGCCCAAATGGGCATGTATAACAGTGCACTCTTTTTTTGTTGTTGTTGTTTTGAGATAGGGTTTCGCTCTGTTGCCCAGGCTAGAGTGCAGTGGCATGATCTTGGCTCACTGCAACCTCCACCTCCCAGGTTCAAATGATTCTCCTGCCTCAGCCTCCCCAGTAGCTAGCATTACAGGTGTGTGCCCCCACGCCTGGCCAATTTTTATATTTTTAGTAGAGACAGCGTTTCACCATGTTGGCCAGGCTGGTCTTGAACTCCTGACCTCAAGTGATCCACCCGCTGTGGCCTCCCAAAGTGCTGGGATTACAGGCATGAGCCATCGTGCCTGGCCAGTGCACTCTTTTAGCTTTGCTCTCTGCAGATGCTTAAGTGTTAAGTGACTCAGTGCCCTCTTGGTACCAGGGTCCTTGTCTGGTGTCCAGGAAGAATCAGATTGCACATGGACTTGAAGGATGGTGAATGTATGAGTTTTATTGGGTGGTGGAGGTGGCTCTCAGCGGGATGGATGGGGAGCTGGAAAGGGGAGGGAGTGGGAAGGTGATCTATCCCTGGAGTTTGGCTATTCAGTGGCTGATCTCATCTCTGACCTTCCCCAGCCAAACTTCTCTTGGCATTCAGATGCTCCTTCTCTTCTCTCTGCAGTTCTTCTGCCCTTCTGTTCATCTCCTTGTGGAGCCTGGAGTTTGGGGTTTACATGGATATAGAATAGTGGGGCATGGTGGGCCAAAAGGCAACTTTTGGGCATGAAAACAGGAAAGCCTGTTCCCATTTCTGGCCGCAGGTTTCCAGACTTGAGGGTGGGGCCTTTGCCGGGGGACCACCCTCTTCTTCTACCCAGTATTTTCCTGTTTTCTGTGTGTTTCCATTTATGCCACTAAATTGAGGTAGAGAGAGGAGCCAGTGTAGGATGGGGCCTGAGTGAAAAAGGAGAAGGAAAAAGGAGAGTCAGTGAGGTAGGAGAGAAACCAGCATAGTAGTTTTATAGAAGCGGGGAGTAGTATTTCAAGGAAAGTAGTCAGTGTGTGGATGCTGCAAAAACATCACATGAGACAGAACAGGCTGAGTATGGTGGCTCACACCTGTAATCCCAGCACTTTGGGAGGCCGAGGCAGGTGGATCACCTGAGGTCAGGAGTTCGAGACCAGCCTGGCCAACGTGGTGAAACCCCATCTCTACTAAAAATACTAAAAATAAAAAATTAGTGGGGCATGGTGGCATGTGCCTGTCATCCCAGCTACTTAGGAGGCTGAGGCAGGAGAATCACTTGAACCTGGGAGGCTAAGGTTGCAGTGAGCCTAGATCACGTTATTACACTCTAGCCTAAGAGACAAGAGCGAAACTCCGTCTCCAAAAAAAAAAAAAAAAAAAAAGATGGAATAGAGAAGTGACCTGAATTTGGCAACACAGGTCATAGATGCCTTGACAATAGCAGTTTCTATGTATGTAGGGACAGAAGCCTGATTGTTGTACATTAAGGAGAGCGAGTGATATAAGGAAGTAGAGACAGCAGAAAAGACAACATAAGAACTTTTGCAGTGAAGCAGATATGGAAGAGGTCATGGGGTCAAGAGAGAGGGTTTTTGGTTTTCTTTTCTTTTCTTTTCTTTTTTTTTTAAAGCAGTGTCCCACTTTGTCATCCAGGCTGGAGTTCAGTGGGACAAACAGAGCTTACTCACTGCAGCTTCGACCTGCCAGGCTGAAGTCACTCTCCCACCTCAGCCTCCTGAGTAGCTGGGACTGACTACAAGGGTACACCACCACGCCCAGCCAGGTTTCACTGTGTTGCCCAGGCTGGTCTTGAACTCCTAAGCTTGGCCTCCCAAAGTGCTGGGATTATAGGCATGAGGCACCCCGCTGCCCTGGTTTTTTGTTTGTGTCTGTTTTTGTTTCTTTTTTTTGAAGATAGAATCTCCACTCTGTTGCTAGGCTGAGTGCAGTGGTGCGATCTGGCCTCACTGCAGTACCTCTGCCCTCCGGAGTTTAAGCAATTCTCCTCCCTCGCCTCCAAGTAGCTGATTACAGCGCCACTACACCCAGCTAAGTTTTGATTTTAGTAGAGACGGTGTTCACGTTTTGGCAGGCTGAGTCTTTGAACTCCTGACTGTGATCCATGTGTTGGCACCACAAGTGCTAGGATTTACAGGAGCCACATGTCTGGCTGGTTTTTTTTTTTTTTTTTTTTGAGACGGAGACTTGATGCTGTCCCAGCGGAGCAGGGGCCGGATCTCAGCTTCACTGCAAGCTCCGCTCCCGGTTTATGGCCATTTTCCTGCCTCAGCCCCCCGAGTGACGGGAACAGGCGCGCCACCCTCGGGCTAGTTTTTTGCCTATTTTAGTAAGAAACGGGGTTCCACCGGGTTAGCCAGAGGTCTTGATCTCCTGACCTTGTATCCGCCACGTCTCGGCCTCCCAAAGTGCCTGGGATTACAGGGCTTGAGCCACCGGCCGGCCTTTTTTTTTTTTTTTAAGCACAGATTCTGCAACCGGCTTGATTGCTACTGAGCATGAGGCTAGAGAAGGTAGAAACTGATGGTACATGAGAAAGATGATATTCAAGTGATGTCCTTGACAAAGCAAGAGAAGGTGGCATCTAGAGTGCTATCAGAAGAGTCTGTTTCATGGAAGAAGAAACACTTAATTCATTGTAACTGGAGGAAAGCACAAGAGTATGAATGAAGATGCAGGTGGGTTTATTGATACTCATTTTTCTTAACACTCCCAATAAAATATCACTCCCATTCATAGATTGAAAGAGTGAGGTTTGGTAAGGGAGAATGATATATTTGTATTCTATCACGGACCAGTGGCATCAATAGTTACAGAACTCATATCTCTAGACTTCCAGGTGAGTGTTCCAGTTTATGTCCTTTGAGATTGAAGTGTCATATACATTAATGTGTTTCCTATTTTCTTGGTTCATCTGGATGTTTTGTTCTAGGGACAGATCTGGAAGCATCTTTGCTAAGTTTTGAAAAACTTGACCGTGCCTCACCAGATCTTTGGCCAGAACAATGTAAGTTTTTGCTTTCTTTATATCAGAGTCAATGTAGGAGAAACAATGCTCCTTTTTAAACAGATTTTTAAAGAGTTATCATTTATTTATTTGGTAAATTTTTATTTATTTTGAAGCTAGTCAAATTTAGCAGTGGGGGATTGTATACAAACTTTAGTGACACTAACATTAATAAGTTCTGATAACTGGCTGAGCCTGTTGGCTCATGCCCGTAATCCCAGCACTTTGGGAGGCCGAGTTGGGAGGATTACCTGAGGTCAGGAGTTTGAGACCAGCGTGGCCAACATGGCGAAACCCTGTCTCTACTAAAAAAAAAAAATAGAAATATTAGCTGGATGTAGTGGCACACGCCTGTAATCTCAGCTACTCAGAAGGCTGAGGCATGAGAATCTTTTGAACCCAAGGGGCGGAGGCTGCAGTGAGCAGAGATCGTGCCACTGCACTTCAGCCTGGGTGACAGAGTGAGACTTTGTCTCAAAAAAAAAGTTCTGATAACCCACTACCATCAGACCAGCCTGAAGAGTTATCATTTAACTTTAATGATTAAAGTTTTATTTTATTTCAAAGAGAAGAGACTGAAGTCCAGTGTTAAGAATAGCTGTTTGGTGTTTTAATTTTTTCAGAACACAGCGTAACTCAGAAAATAAGGAGCTTTTAAGCAATAATAATTGTTTTGTTTGAACCAGAGTCTCTCTCTGTCTCCCAGGGTAGAGTGCAGTGGTGCACTCAGGTCACTGCATCCTCTGCCTCAGGATTCAAGCGATTCTCCTGCCTCAGCCTCCCAGGTAGCTGGGACTACAGGTGCGTGCCACCACGCCCGGCTAATTTTTTGTGTTTTTAGTAGAGACGGGGTTTCACCATGTTGGCCACGTTGGTCTCAAACTCCTGACCTCAGATGAACTGCCTGCCTTGACCTCCCAGAGTGCTGGTATTAGAGGCCTGAACCACTGCACCTGGCCCACTCTTACAAAGTTAATCACTTTTAATCGCACAAATCCTTGTAAAAGGTACAACTCCGGCCAGGTGTGGTGGCTCATGCCTGTAATCCAAGCACATTGAGAGGCCGAGGTGGGCGGATTACCTGACATCAGGAGTTTGAGATCAGCCTGGCTAACATGGTGAAACCCAGTTTCTACTAAAAATACAAAAAATTATCTGGGCGTGGTGGCACATGCCTGTAATCCCAGCTGTTTGGGAGACTGAGGCAGGAGAATCGCTTGAGCCTGGAAGGTGTAGGTTGCAGTGAGCGGAGGTTGCAGTGAGCTGAGATCACTCCATTGTACTCCAGGTTGAGCAACAAAGAGTGAAGCTCTGTCTCAAAAAAAAAAAAAAAATCAAAAAAAAAAAAAAAAAAGGTAGACATCCTTTTGACCTGTTTTATACTTATACAGATAAGGAAATAATAATTTTTAAAGTATATATGAGGGATTTTTTTTTGTTCATAATGATGGAGTTATACATGTGGCCTGCCACTTAACTTACTCCACATATGAACAGTTCCATCTTGGTATGTGTATGTCTACTTCATTTCATTGTATGGATATATTATAGTTTATATATTCATACATTATTTGGAAACTTAAGTTATATCTAGTTTTTTTGTTGTTGTTGTTGTTTTAATTTGAGCCAGGGTCTCGCTGTCACCCAGGCTTTGTGCAGTGGCATGATCACAGCTGACTACAGCCTCAACCTCCTGGGCTCGAGTGATCCTCTCACTTCAGCCTCCTGAGTAGCTGGGACCACAGGCATGCACCACCACAACCAGCTATTTAAAAAAATTTTTTTGGGGGAACAGGGTCTCACCGTGTTGCCCAGACTGGTCTTGGACTCCTGGCCTCAGGCTGTCTTTCCACCTTGGCTTCCCAGAGTGCTAGGATTACAGGTGTGAGGCACTGTGCCCAGCCTATATCTAGTTTTTGATTTTACAGATAGTTTATCAGTGAATACTCAGGTATACATATCTTTGTATACATGGAAGAGAATAACTGTATGAGGGCCCCTTTCCTCACATTCTAGCCAGTATTAGATGTTATTAATCTATTACTTTCATTTTGCATTTCCTTTTTGGTGAGATTGAACTTTTTTTTTTTTTTTTTTTTTTTGAGACAGAGTCTCGTTCTGTTGCCCAGGTTGGAGTGCAGTGGGGTGATCTCAGCTCACAGCAACTTCTACCTCCCGGGTTCAAGCAATTCTCCTGCCTCAGCCTCACAAGTAGCCGGGACTATAGGTGCATGCTGCCACACCTGGCTAATCTTTTGTATTTTAGTAGAGACGGGGTTTCACTGTGTTGTCCAGACTGGTCTCGAACTCCTGAGCTCAGGCAAAGATCTTATTTTAATTATTTATTTTTTTAGAGACAGAGCCTCATTCTATCACCCAGGCTAAAGTGCAATGTCACAATTATAGCTTACTGCAGCCTCCAACTTCTGAGTTCAAGCCATCCTCCTGCCTCAGCGTCCTGAGTAGCTGGGACTATAGGTGTGCATTACCATGCCCAACTAACTGTTTTTTTGTGTTTTGTTTTTTGGTTTTTTTTGGGACAGGTTCTTGCTCTGTTGCCCAGGTTGGAGTGCAGTGGTGTGATCATGGCTCACTGCAGCCTCAACTTCCTGGGCTGAAGCCTTCCAAGTAGCTAGGACTGGGGTGCATGTCACTATGCCTGGCTAAGTTTTGTATTTTTTGTAGAGATGGGGTTTCACTATATTGCCCAGGCTGGTCTCCAACTCCTGAGCTCGAGTGATTCACCTGCTTCAGCCTCCCTAAGTGCTGGGATTACAGGCATGAGCCACCGCACCCGGCCCAGTTTTTTAAATTTTTTGTAGAGTCTGGAGTCTTGCCTTGTTGCCCAGGCTGATCTTCAAGTTATCCTCCTGCCTTGGCTTCCCAAAATGCCCAGCCCTGATTTTTATTTTTCTGCCTTTTAATGTGATTCTTTTTGTGAGAAACTTAAATAAAATTGGATTGACAGAATAGCATCTCTAAAAAGGCAGTTTAAAGTTTCTGGTAAGAGATACTGTATCTTACCACCCTCCCAACCAGCTAACTCCTGGTCCTTCCAAGTTCAGTTGAGGCATTATTTTCCTTGAGAAGCTTTTTATGCCCCCTGGGTCTGACTTAGCTTTCCATTTTTGTCTTCCCATAGCCCTGGCATCTTTCTTTGAGGACTGAAACAGTATTATAGTTATTGGTTTATTCTTTCTCTTGTTCTAAACTATAAGAAAACAGACAAAGCTGTTTTCTTATTTTCTTATTATTTGGATCTTCTATGCCTGAGCAATCATACTTATTGAATAAATATTGTTTTGTTTTTCTTTTAGTACCAGGTGTTGCTGAATTTGCAGCTTCCTTCAAAAGTGTAAGTAATATAAGTAATATCCCTTACCTACTGAGGTCGATCCAAAGTTTCGCTCCTGGGTAAAAGCTCAGATCTCTCTTTTTTATTTTATTTTATTTATGACAAAGTCTCACTTTTCACCCAGGCTGGAGTGCAGTGGTGCAATCTCGGCTCACTGCTACTTCCACTTACCAGGTTCAAGCAATTCTCCTGCCGCAGCCTCCTAAGTAGCTGGGATTACAGGTGCCCACCACCATGCCTGGCTAATTTTTGTATTTTTAGTAGAGTTGGGGTTTCACCATGTTGGCCAGGCTGGTCTCAAACTCCTGACCTCAAGTGATCCACCCACCTCAGCCTCCCAAAGTGCTGGGATTACAGGTGTGAGCCACCGGGCCTGGCCTTTTAAAATTTTTTGTGGAGATGAGGTCTCACTGTGTTTCCCAGGCTGGTCTTGAACTCCTGGGTTCAAGTGATCCTCCACCTTCAGCCTCCCATAGCATTAGGATTACAGGTGTGAGCTATTGTACCTGTTACTATTTTTTTTTAATGAGAAAAATGGGAAAAATAACACCTACTTTATAGAGTTGATTTGGAGGTAAATGGCCTGATGCGTGTAAAGTGTTTTGCTTGTCACATAATAGGTACTGAGTACATTTTAATTAAAAAAAGAGAAGGATGCAAAGCTGAAATAATGTTTCTCAACTCTACCTTTTGTGCATGACAGAATCATCAACATGCAGCTATGGAGCTCTTGAAAAATGCACTGTAACAAATGAGCACCAAGAAAAAAAATAATAAAAAAAGAAAAACACATATGAGGAATCCCTTGCTCTACTTTTTCCACTGGACCCTTCCCTACCCCTCATATTCTAAATCATTATGTCTAGAGTGTGGCCAAGGCATTTATATTTTTAAAAGTTACATAGGTGATTCTCGTGTGCAACTAGCGTTAAACTGCTGACCCAGAGCTATTCTAAGAATGGACTTTCTTTCATGGTTTTGTTTTTTTTTTTTCCACTCTGTGGCCCAGGCTGGAGTGCAGTGGCGCGATCTCGGCTCACTGCAAGCTCCGCCTCCTGGGTTCACACCATTCTCCTGCCTCAGCCTCCCGAGTAGCTGGGACTACAGGCGCCCGCCACCACGCCCGGCTAATTTTTTTGCATTTTTAGTAGAGACGGGGTTTCGCCGTGCTAGCCAGGATGGTCTCGATCTCCTGACCTCTTGATCCGCCCGCCTTGGCCTCCCAAAGTGCTGGGATTACAGGCGTGAGCCACCGTGCCCGTCCCTTCTTTCATAGTTTTAAGTTCACTTTCATAAATGAAAAATTGCAAAGTTCTGAAGTTTTCTAAAACCTACAATAAAATTGTGAAATTCCAAGTCATGACCATTCTAGACTTCTCTCACTTAGAATGAGGATTTTCTCATTCTTGATTCTTCTTTGAATCTTCCCCTATGCCAGAGAATGTTACTTACTGATTAGCGTTTCAAACAGTTGAATTGGAGTCTTTCACCAGATCTGAATTTCAAGTAATTTCTTTCATTGCTATACTAACTTGTTCTGCATAAACCAGTAATAGTGGTCATACCTATTCTTCCACAATAATTTCTCTGAGACTGACTTTAAAGATGAGCCATGATTTTTACAGTGACTGTTTGTAGGCCATATCTAAACCTGGAGAAATCCAGGTTTTTTAACTTATAATCTGCCAGTATTTTCAAACAACCTGAAGGCTATGTGACAAGCTGCATTTTTTCTTTTTGTTTTTTGAGACAGAGTAATACTCTCACCCAGGCTGGAGTACAGTGGCACGATCTTGGTTCACTGCAACCTCTGCCTCCCACATTCAAGAGGTTCAAGCAATTCTCACGCCTCAGCCTCCCGAGTAGCTGAGTTTACAGGTGTGTGCCACCACGCCTGGCTAATTTTTTTTGTAGTTTTAGTAGAGATGGGGTTTCTGCCTGTTGGCCAGGCGGGTCTCAAACCCCTGACTCCTGACCTCAAGTAATCCGCCCACCTTGGCAGCCACCGCATCCAGCCCAGGCTACATTTCTTATAAAAATAATAGGGTCTCTTCACACTTTTTATGTGTCTGAATGGATATATTATTTTTTGACAGCCTATTACTAGTTCTCCGCCCAAATGGATGGCTGAGATAGAACGTGATGACATCGACATGTTGAAAGGTAAGTGATGCTGGTTACACTTTTAACTGGGTATTTATGTTTTTCCATAAACCACCTCTCCATTTTTTTTCCGTTTCCTTACAAGTATTTTTGGCTTCAGACTTCTCATTTAAACTTCCTTATTTGTAGTTTTTCATGTGTGTAATGCCCTTCTCTACCTTTTCCATGTGTAGAAATCCTGCAAATTCAAGACTCAGTCTTAGTGAATTCTGCTGCTGCTGCTAAATTCTTCTAATGTGAACTTAATTTTGTACAATACAGTTAACAAATAGCTCTAACATAAATTTTTTGATTTAATTCCCATAAAGGTCCTGTGAGTTGGGTATGATTATATTCAAAGTTCATAAGTTAACCAAGATAGAATGAGTTAAAATTTGGCTTGGAGTGGCTTACGCCTGTAATCCCAGCACTTTGGGAGGCCGAGGCGGGCGGATCACCTGAGGTCAGAAGTTTGAGACCAGACTGACCAACATAACGAAACCATGTCTCTACTAAAAATACAAAAATCAACCAGACATGGTGGCAAGCTTCTGTAATCCCAGCCACTCTGGAGGCTGAGGCAGGAGAATCACTTGAACCTAGAAGATGGAGGTTGTGGTGAGCAATTGTTCCACTGCACTGCAGCCTGGCTGACAGAGTAAGACTCTATCTCAAAAAAAAAAAAAAAAGTTAAAAAATTTTAACTCTGATTTTTTTTTTTTTCCAGACGGAGTCTCGTTCTTGTTGCCCAGGCTGGAGTGCAGTGGTGCGATCTCGGCTCACTGCAGCCTCTGCCTCCCGGGTTCAAGCGATTCTCCTGCCTCAGTCTCCTGAGTAGCTGGAACTACAGGCACCCCCTACCACACCCGGCTAATTTTTGTATTTTTGGTAGAGATGGGGTTTCACCATATTGGCCAGGCTGGTCTCGAACTCCTGACCTCCAATGATCCACCCACCTCGGCCTCCCAGAGTGCTGGGATTACAGGTGTGAGCCACCACGCCCAGCGTAAACTGTGCTCTTTTAAGTCTAGTCTCTTTCCAGTATAACACAAGTGCCTTATTTAGAATTTACTGCCATATATTGTCAGTACTATTAAATGACAACCTCTTAGTGGGTTAAGACCTATTTTTTATTTTTTTATCCCATCAATTTCTTCTATAAAGAATATTGTAAGTAGTGAATATTGTTGTTTGATAAATGATTTGAAACTCAATCACAAAGTGGAAATTTAAATTAAAAAACATTAATTTTCCATGATTTTTGCCCTACTTTATTTATTTTATCATTCTTCTGGTGATAAGAATCATGATGATTGTGAAGTAATAGACTGAAATTAAGGTAAAAACCTGGGATTCTTGAGGTATTTAAACAGCTGAACATACCAAGAAAGTCTACTTATGCTAGGTGTAGATAATGACTGTGGCATGATAAATGAGATTAAAAAAAACACCTTTATTTGGTTTTAGAAGTAATTCATTGTTCTTCATGAAATGCTTAAATGCAGATTCCCTCCTCCTGTCATGGAAAAATTAAGTCTCAAGGGCATCTCAGGTTCATTCTTCTAATGTTTCAAACAGACATTTTTATAATATCTCATCAGCATGTATTTCTTAAGGCAACTCTAAATTTTTAGTGAGGGATCATAGCATTATATTCTATGCAAACTGACCTGTGTCTTAAACCTAAAAGGAATTGGGTGCTGTTTAAATAAAAATTCAGGAAAGAAAATGTTTAAATATTGTCTTTGTGTGTGTGTGTGAGTGTGTGTGTGCAGGAGACTGGAGTTTTTTTTTATTACTCAGTCTCCCCGAGAATTTGGGGATCAGAGTTTTTAAGGATAATTTGGTGGGTTGGGGGGACAGTGAGTTGCTAGTGCTGATTGATTGGGCCGGAGATGAAATCACAGGGAGTCAGAACTGTCCTCTTGTGCTGAGTCAGTTCCTGGGTGGGGGCCACAAGATCAGATGAACCAGTTTATTGATCTGGGTGGTACGAACTGATCCATCAAATGCAAGGCCTGCAAAATATCTCAAGCACAGAAACACCCAATAGTGAAACCACCACTGCAGAAGTGTAACTGTGATGGTGAAAGAGATCTGACCTAAGCAACTCCCATTTGCTCCTAACCTCCAACAGTATGCTGTCTTTTTACTTAGTAAACTTAAAGATTTTTATAGGAATTTGGTTTGAAGGGAAAGTTTAAATTTTTATTTAGTCTTTGTTTTCTAAACTTAGGGAAATGGGGAATAGTAAGTTTTGTTGCCACTTTATTATAAGTCGAAATAATGTGGACTTACAATTAACAGTGGAGACAATATCCATTTTGTCAGATCAGATATGTCTTCAAGTCTTTCTTAATGCTATATCAAAAGACAAGGTTTTACATTTTAATGACGTATTCTAAACGAATGTTATAAATAATGTTTCCAGAAGATGAAACACTTGTTATTTTATTATTTTTTCTTGTTTTATTTGAGAAAGGGTCTGCCTCGGTCACCCAGACTATAGTGCGGTGGTGCCATCATGGCTCACTGCAGCCTTGACCTCCTGGTGATCCTCCCACCCCAGCCTCCTGAGTAGCTGGGACTACAGGCATACACCACCATACCCAGCTAATTTTATTTTATTTTATTTTATTTTGAGACGGAATCTGTCTTTGTTGCCTAGGCTGGAGTGCAGTGGTACAATCTCAGCTGTCTGCAGCCTTTGCTTCCTGGGTTAAAGTGATTCTCCTGTTTCAGCCTTCTGAGTAGCTTGGACTACAGGCGCCTGCCACCACACCCAGCTAATCCTTATATTTTTAGTAGAGACAGGGTTTCGCCAGGTTGGCCAGGCTGGTCTCGAACTCCTGACCTCAGGTGATCTGCCCGGCTTGGCCTCTCAAAGTGCCAGGATTACAGGTGTGAACCACCATGCCTGGCTGAATTTTTGTATTATTTTTATACAGGTGAGGTATCATGTTGCCCAGGCTGGTCTTGAACTCCTGGGCTCAAGCGATCCTCTTGCCTTAGCCTCGCAAGTAGCTGGGACGGCAGGCATGTGCCACTGTGCCCGGCTAATTCTGTTTTTATGCAAATTCGTTTATTTTTAAGTGGGTAAGCTTATCTGAGGAATTTTGCCATAGTGGGAAAATTCCCTGATATGTGTGTGTGTGTGTGTGTGTGTGTGTGTGTGTAAGATTGGGGGAGGAGTTACGGATCCATTTTCTACTTATTCAGTGGTAATTACGCTCGAAAACTTGTGTAACAAGAGTTCCCAACCCAAATAAGTTGCTACTAGAGAAGAGTGGAAAGAAATGATGTTGAAATAAATGATTCTGTTTCAGAACTGGGGAGTCTCACCACGGCTAATTTGATGGAGAAGGTACGAGGCCTACAGAACTTAGCCTATCAGCTGGGGCTGGATGAGTGTGAGTACTCCGATCGCATTTGTTCAGGGTTACATGCTGTGTATTATCACCGTGAGCTCCAGTTATAATTCAGAAAGTATATTAGGGAAAAGAGAAGCATTCTGAAGGTAAGAAGTCAATCTAATTCATTGACTTTTTATGGTGGAGTGTGGTGGAATAATTACTGGATTTACTAGGTAACAAATGATTTTTCTTTATACAGTAAAACTATATTGAAATCCCTTCAGGTTATTATCTCATTTTTAAATAGATAAGAGTCTTACTATGTTGCACAGGCTGATCTTCAACTCCTGGGCTCAAGTGATCCTCCTACCTTAGCCTCTGAAGTAGCTGGGACTACAAGCATGTACCATCGTGCCTGGGTAATTTTAGAATTTTTTTGTAGAGACAGAGTCTCACTATATTGCCCAGGCTGGTCTTGAACTCTTGGGTTTAAGTGATCCTCTTGCCTCAGCCTTCCAAAGTGCTGGGATTATAGGCATGAACCACCGTGCCCAAATAGCATTTTACTTTACAAATAAATTTAAGGCTGGCCATAGTGGCTCATGCCTGTAATCCCAGCTACTTAGGAGGCTGAAGATGGAGAATCACTTGAAACTGGGAGGCAGAGGTTGCAGTGAGCCAAGATCATGCCACTGCACTCCAGCCTGGGCGACAGAGTGAGACTGTCTCAAAAACAAGAAAATTAATTTAAAATTTCTAATTTTCAACTGATAGTCGTCACTTCCTCAGATCTCTTTATCCTTCCTTTATTTCTGTTACTGTCATCAGCAGTTGGCTTTCTTTTACCAAGAAAACATTTTTGAATTGGTTATGGAATCAAGAAATAGAGAACAACAAACTGCTTTAAGATACGGTTGTTAGCTGGTCTGCTAAGTTCACACATTAATACCTAACTCTTCTCTATATACTGGTAATTTATTTCTTTTTTTTTTTTTTTCACTCGACAGCACCTCCCTAAAATAAACTCAAGCCCATACCGAGTAGCTGCGGACTACAGGCCCCCGCCACATTTACCTTCATTGAACAAACACCTGACACAAGATGCAATCCACAAAGCGCTTGACCCATACATACAAATTTAATCATCGCATGTAATTATTATTACACAAGAAGCCAGAAACAAAATCAAGGAACAAAATCAACTATGAAATCTCACATTACACGGTTCAGGCTTACTACATCACCCAGAATTTGATCTTTTCATGAATAGATCAAGGGGTCCAATGACATACATGGTTAACTAGTAATTTTGCCAGGGTAAAACTTTAATCATAAGAAATAGGCCGGCGCGGTGGCCGGTCAAGACCTGTAACTCCCTAGCACTATTGGAGAGCCGAGACGAGGCATCACGAGGTCCAGGAGAGCGGGACCATCCTGGCTATACGGTAACCGTCTCTACTAAAAATACTGAAAACTGCCGGGTGAGGTGGGCGGGAGCTTTGGCCTGTAGTCCAGGCTACCTCGGGAGAGCACTGAGAGCAGGAGAAATGCGCGCTAACCCTGGAGCGGAGCTTGCAGTAGAGCTGAATCCGGGCACTAACTCCCAGCCTGGGCGACAGAAGCGCGACTCTGTCCAAA